AATGTTCCACAGAAGAATTTAAAGGTCTTACCAGGTTTCTGACTGCATTTTGCTTGATGAACATTAGCTTGAAGTTGTAAGTTCTAAACATAGAATCACAGAATGGCTAGACTGGAAAGGGCCTTAAAGATAATCTGTTTCCAGATCCCTGCCGTGGCAGAGATACTTTTCATTAGACCAGGTTGCTCACAGCCCCATCCAACCTGAAAACTGGGGATGGGGCATCCACAACTTCTCTGGGCAGCCTCATTGTGCCAGTGCCTTATTACCCTCACAGTAAGGAATTTCTTCATAACATTAACCTAAACCTGCTTGCTGTCAGTTTAAAATAATTTCCTTCTTGTCCTGTCAGTACATGATTCATATTTTTTGTGTGGCTCCCTTCAGGTACTGGAAGGCCACAAATAAAATACCCTCAAAACTTCTCTTTTCCAGGCTAAATAATCTCATTTCTCTCTGCCTTTCCTCATAGGAGAGGTGCTCCATCCCTGCAGTCATCTTGGTGGCCCTTTGGTGGATTCATTCCATTAGGGTGATGTCCTTCCCATGCTGGGAACTCCAGAGCTGGATGCAGCTCTCCAAGTGGGGTCTCACCAAAGCAGAGCAGAGGGACAGAATCCCCTCCCTCGCCCTGCTGCCCACGCTGCTTTGGATTGCCAAGATCCAGTGGGTGTTCTGGTCTTTGAGTGCACACTGCTGCCACATGTCCAGCCTCTCATTCACCAACACACCCAAGCCCTTTTGGCAGGGCTGCTCTCGATCTGTTCATCCCCCAGCCTCTGTTGATACCAAGGGTTGCCCTGAGCCACGTGCAGCCCATGCTTTGAAGGAAGTGCATGTGTTCACTTGATCAGAAGTGGACAATGTGGTTTGTGGCCATGTATTAGGTTAGTTCTCTTAACTCCACCCTAATATGTAGCTCCTTCCCTTTCTTTCCTCTGTCACCTTGAATATTTTCTAATAATATTTTGCATGGGACTATCAGTGGGAGTTGTAAGTACTTTTGCAACATTACGCTAAAGAATGAATTGACCTAAGTGCACCGTTTTTACATTTTTAATGAATGGTTATACTGCCAGTGTGTCTTGTGCAATGGAGAACTGAGTTCCCACAGTAGCAAAGAAAGTACTTAGAGGATTAGGAGAGGGGAATCATGACATTAGTCTGAGAGACAAGAATTCTGTGTGTAATAAAATTGTCATGCAGTTGGCATACCACTTCTGTGAGATTGTGTTGGCATGTGTATATGGATATATATGAAAGAGGAACTGAAATATAAAGGCTGATTTCTACCTCTCTTCACCTCACCAATTTAGACCTGTACCTGAAAGTCGAAAACTTCTGATCACTGTTAATTTCCAAAGGGTTTAAGATCTGTTTGTAAGGGCTTCATGAACTCTGCTGTATTTACTTTCATAGCTGATTGGGCAGCGATCTGTCAGTCTGTGTATGAGGTTTCTCAGTGGCTTCTTGTCCTAGGAAATAAGCAACTAAGTTCCATCTGCAGATCTGTCTGCATTTGGCACAGACCCAGTTATTCTCACACCTTCTTACAAAGAGTACCACAACAGTGTTTTTCCAATATCTCTGCATATGCTTGTAGCATGAGTGACTAATGAGCGTGTTAGTGAATCCTGGAATAAGTTACCATGGATTGGAAGGTGCCTGCTGCTAACCTGGCAGCAGTATGACACTGTCATTGCATAAACCTGCTGTAATATAAAAGTCTGCATGGGGATAAGTGCTCTGATTCAGAAGTCTGCCAGCCGTTCACTGTCACCAGTGACTATTGGGAAGTAGGTAAATTGGCTGCTGGTTTTAGCTTCAGAATGAGCACAAAGTAAGCAACCTGGCTACAGCAGCTGCAGTTCAAGTCTCTAATCCCAGTTCCTGCTCTTTCTGTTACTGGTTTTTAGCAGCTTGCCTCATGTTACTCTGCTGTTAGTTTTGTGACAGGGCTGGATAGTGTTGGTAATTGTACCACCACATTTCTCTGTTGTGATCTGTGCTGTGGTTCACCCCAAGAGCAGGAGACAGCTTTTTCTAGTGGAGTGGAATCATGTTAGGAGTGCCTAACATGAATCCTTTGGGTGCTTGCCAGAATGCCCTCCCCTGCCTGCACCACTTCCCTCAGTGGGAGTTTGGACAGCTTGAACACTGCATGCGACTGCTTTGCTTGGCAGCTTTGACCAACACAAAATCACATACAAAAAAGCTGTTGTGAGGAAGTGTCAGCAAAAAGTCTTCGAAGGTCTTCAGGATACTTGGGTGCAGTGATGCAGCTGGGTAGCAGACAGGAGCACTGCAGGCTCCTCAGCCTTCCTGAACTCTTCCCTAGAGCTGCAGCCTGCTGTGTTTTCTCTGGAGTTCATCAGCACAGTTCTGTTAGGTGTCATGTAGAAATATGGATTTCCAATAAAAAAACCAATATTTATCTAATTATTAGAAGTTTTCTTCATTTTCTTTCTTTATAACCATGCCCTTGTCAGACTCCATATTAGTATCATTGTACTTCATCAGTCTTCAGGGAGTAGTCTTGATTAGTTTTTTGCGCCACTGTCATTTATGATTTTCAGTATAGAAAATAATATTTTAGAAAGTTTGAATTTAGTGGGGAATTTAAAATATTTTTCAACTTTTCAGTAGAAAGACTACATTTGGACATACTTTCTTGGAGCAGCTATAGACATATATTTTGAGAGGTCTGACCCACTGACTTAGAGATCTTTACAGTACATATGTAGCCAGCCATGTGTAATCCTTTGAAGAAATAAGATCAAAATCTGCTGGGTCAAAGACAATAGTTTTTCCCCCTTATATAGCTCCTGTATTGTAGCTCAGGGTTTCTTATTACTTTAGTACAGTACCACATATGCATCAGGGACTTGCTTTCTATCGCAATTCAGTTGCTATTCTGATGATGTATCACAAGAGAAGGTTATGTGACAAAAAATAATCCTTTACTTATCCCAGGTATTGTTAAAGGAGTACCAAAGAATTCTTTGGGACTTGTGTAAAGCTGCTTTTCTGCTTCTCAGGAGCAGTAGTTGGGTGAGACTCCAGCTTCTCTATTGCTGAAGATAGCTTTGCCAGAGCATTTCACTATCTTTTTTACTGCAGTTAAAGGCAACTGCTCATCTCTCTGCACTTTACTCAGGCAGAGCAAAGGACAAGATAATCCCCTTAGCCTGTTAAATGCTCCATCCCATCTGGTAGGTGATAATTGCATTGTAAGGGGATTAACACAGTGGGATATGCTTACAGTGTAATGAAAGCTTCACTATAAGTGTGAAAGTCAGCTGATTGCATTCTAGCACTTGGGGACCTTATATTTGCACATATTTTGTAAAAAACATAAAAGACAAGTTTCATCTGGGGAAGGTATGTAGTATCTTTACATGCCATCCTTCACATATTTGTAACAGATTTTACATTTGTTCTGGAATATCAGTAGTCTGAATATCTGAAATCCTCTTGTAGGAGTAGTGCAGCAGACTCTTGTTTAGCCAAATGTTTTGAGATCATTCTGTGGGGTATAGCTGTATTAAATGCATCCCAGGTGTTGACTACTGTTAATCAAAAGTACTATGACTTTGAAACCATGGGGCTTGATTGTTACCAGTCTAGGAACAGCCATGTTATTTAAATACAGCTTGGAAATCTTCATCAGTAAAGGTGAAATTTGAATAAGCCATACTGTGAGGAATATCACAGTAATTTTGTGTCAGCAGGGATTTCTGTCAAGAGGATTTCTGGCTGAAAGTAACTCTTCTTGAAGCCAACCAAAATAAATATTTTGAAACTTCAGTTTCAAGCATGAGCCTAAGGTAATGCAGACTGATTTTTTTTTTTTTTTAAAGAAGTTTGAAATCTTATGTTTTTAAGTTTGTCTAATGCTGTAGTGAAGACAGTAAATTTTAAGGTTCAGAGCATTTCATAAGTGAACTCTACCTTAGCTTCCTTACCTTTCGAGATTATAAAGATCCTTGTGAAGATAAGTTCTGTAGGGCAGTAGCTCAGGGTTGATTATCACCCTGTTGGATTGCACTCTCTCCAGTCTCCCCATGTGGTACAAGAAGCTGGGAAGTTGCTCTGTGCTGACCTGCATGTGCCACTTGGCTGGTTTGAACATTAACCTGGGTGGTTAAAACAGGGCTTGGTTAGCGCGCGCCGTGCTGGGCCAGAGCTTCATAGCCAGGTGATCAAATGAGAGGTAGAGAAGTACACACTGTGTGCAGGGGATGCTTTAGTGACATTGTGTGACCCTGCTGCAGGATTGAATTTTCTAATGAATTAAGGTTCTGTGACCAGCTGTGTGGCTGCTGTTTCTCTGGCTTCCATTTCCTGACTTAGCAGCACTGTGTGCATGTGTGATCCTGGGAGTAAGGGTAAAATAAAGCCTAGTGGGTTTTTGTGGGCTGTCTGCAGTAACTTTGCCAGTCTGGGATGAAGTTGTTGAGTGTGGTTAAGCTCAGTCTTCTCTTAGTTATCATGGATCTGAGTGGGGTCAAGTTGAAAGCTGGTTTTCTGGTGATGAGATATGGAAGATTTCACAGATCTTTCTTTTTTCTTCTCTCTTTTATTTTTGCTATTTCTTTTAAGGTGACTGGGCTCTAAAGAATATTCTTAATTATTTCGTTTTAGGCTGAATGTTTACCTGAGGAGAGGAAAACTAAGGAAGTTTGCTCTTTTATTTTCTGACATGTTGTAATTTTAAGTAAGCTTGAGTGTAAAATAAACATAACAACACCCTTCCAAAAAATGTAAATATGTCCCCTTTCCCCACCCCAGTTGTTTCTGGAATATGAGTTCGTCACATGAAAATCCATCTTGAAAGCACCATTACGCTGGCAATATATGGAAAGTATTTTTAAGAGGAATTTTCAGATATTTAGAAATGGGTTTTAACCATCCTTCTACCGATATGTATTTAAAATATATACCAACTATGTAACAAACCAAATAATATATGGTGTATAATACATTTTCTTCTTATTTAGGTGACAAACAGCATGTTTGGTGCTTCAAGGAAGAAGTTTGTAGAGGGGGTTGATGGTGACTACCATGATGAGAACATGTACTACAGCCAATCATCGATGTTCCCACATCGGTCAGAAAAAGATGTAAGTTGAATAAGCTTATTTTTTCTCCTTTCAGTACTGAGATAGTTTCAATATGTGGAATGTATGTGAGGAAGATCTTCATTTAGCTTTAAGCTGTACATTTCCAGCAGCAAGTGCTTTAATTTCGGTGAATTTATTCACGTAAACTTCAGCCATATACTTGCTAGTGTTGTTTTGTGGGTTTTTTTTTTTTTCATCTTGAAGCATTGTGTTTGTAATTTAAATTGGGTTATTGATTACATCTTGTGCTCCTGTGCAGGGTCTTCAGGTTTTTTGTTGTGGTTTTGCGTTTTACATCTTCAGCCATTTTTAGTTTCTGATGAAAATGCTTTGTGCAGTTTGTTTACTGAAGTAATCTAAGTTATGTATTTCTCCTATTTGGAATGCCACACAGTTGCAAAACTAGCAATTCCTAAACATTTTTTCCACTCATTAATGACAAATTGTATGTTAGAACTGCATTGACATTAGTGAAGCTCTGCTGCTTCTTACCAAAGATAAATATATTAGGCAGTAAAGTATGTCACTTTTACATGAAGTAGCATGAAGAAATACATGGAGGACTTGAAAGTGTGGCTTGAAGTTCATGTCACCTGCAGGTCAGTAATATAATCTCATGGTAGGCTTGTATTTGATACGTGTAGGCAACACATCCTTCCTAATTTAAAAAAAAAAACAATTCCATTCAAATTTTTAAGAAGGTGAAAATGCTTCAAGTCTGCCTCCAAGACTGTCTAGAAATATGGTTAATAGCAGTTGTGAACATAGTCTTGATAGACCTTGGCCTGTGTCAAGAGAAGCATTTCCTACAGACTCTTAGCTGAATTTTAATTTAGATTTTCAAAGAGAAGGAAATAGGTTTAGAGAGTAGAAGGCTTTTTCAGACAAAATGAAATTTTAAAAAAAGCATAAATGCAGCTTTCCAATTCAGTTTCATAAATTGATAAAGAGCCAGCAAAGGATGAAAATGTAGTAGAGTGTAAACAAAACTAAATGGGCTGCTCTTTTCTCTTTATGTTGATTACACATTGTCATGTACCACAGATGCACATAGGCACAGTGGAATATTTTTAGTGTGGAATTACATCCTTTCTGTGGTCACCGAGAGGTGCAGCTAGCACTCAAAAACAATAGAGAGAATTTTTCCAAAGTGATTTTGGTACATTAAATCCCTACTTTTAGATTTGATGCACTGAGGGTGAAATCATTATGGTGTAGTAAGAAAGATAAAGTGAGGTAAATGCTATGCTGCACAGCATACACAGTGAAAGCTGATGGCTTGTCACATCGTTGACACAGTGAATGAATGTTTTAGTTGCCTACTTTTTCTGTAGGTAGAGTTGCAGAAGTGGATCTTAGAATGGCACTTCAAGAGGAAGAAGGTGGGTGTTCCATACACCAGGAATGACAAATGAGAAATCTTGAAGGCCTGTGGGAGAAGTGGCCAAAATGGGGCATAGAAGCCTGTAGTTGGCAGAAGAATGATGTCATTCCAACAGGAAATAGAAGAGTGGATTTGCAAAAGCTTTTTAAAATTTTATTTCTAAATTATTTTAAGGTTCCCCAAGTCCTGGAGCTTAACTGTTGACCATTACAACTTTCAGAGTTTATGCTTAAGAAATTTTAAACTGTTATATGCTATTCTGACTTTTTTATAAGTTTATACAAATAAATTTATGGCAATAATATTGACTGTACACCGTTGATCACTCAGGTATAGCTAAATGCATACTGTGTATTACATGTTCCATTTGCTCTTTCACTTGGCTCACAGTAGATAAGGAGGTTTGGAAAGGTTGTTACATTCTCTTAAGTTTCCAACTTCTTGCGCAGCTTTGTAAACCTTTGCCTCTTGAAAATAACCATGTTTTCAAATAGTCTTTCAACTAGAATTCAGCTAAAAGTGTATATGAAAGTAAAATAAATATATTGACTCTGTATTGACAGGCTAAAATAAAATTGCTCAGAAGTTTTTCCAAGTAAGCTAATAAAGACTAATGTTCAAAACCTAGATCCAGTTTTATGAACACCTGGGGGAAAATTCCAGCGTTTTAGATCTTGAAGCACTTTGAATCTTTCTGTCTTCACATCTACTATGGTAATAAAATAAAGGCAGAAGACATATCGGGCAAAGAAGCAAATTACTCTTATATTATCTAAACAAGGTGCAATTTTACTGCAGTTTGTTATTCTTCCTTTTTCAACTTCAGCTCCATTTATGTCTTTACTGAAAGCAGATACAATTAATGTGGTAGGCATTTGCAACTGACCTATAAAAATACTGAAATGTAATTTTTTTCTCTCCAGTGTATGATATGTAGATATGAATGCAGAGTCCTTCATTTATGCTTCATTTATTTTCTAGAGTTCTTCCAACTGAAATAGAATGGTTTTGGTGGAAGCTTCTGTGAATAGACTCACTAAATTCTGTTTTTCAGCAAGGGCTAAAGCTTGTTTAATATTTGCCCTTATACTGGATATAGCTAGGTATTTCTCGTTTTCATTTTGTTGAAATTTTAGTGATTCTCATCTTGAGAGTTGCTGCTTTCCAAGGAACTGTTGCTGCTTGTGTGTAGGTGTACTCAAAGCTGGGGAGTACAGGAATGGGGGAACATAGGGAATGGTGAAATCCTTCTAAAATTTAGAGTAAAGGCTATTACTGCAAGCCTTTGTATAAACTTCAAAACTTACTTTTCACTTTATTTTTACAGTAAAGTCAAGCTAAATCCTGTCCTAAATTTCAAATATTTTTGACATGGGGAAAGAACTAGCAGCAAATAATTTTGGACATGTTACTTTTATTTCAGCCTCTGTGTAGCTAAGAGATAAAAGTTTTCTTTTAATTTACCTATTGTTTCACTAGAGAAAGCAGTTGTAAATAAACAGGACTAATACGGTAGTTGAAATGCAAAAGTTGCCTGTTACTCACAAACACAAGTCCTTTCAAGATCATACAGATACAGATTGGATAAGTTATTTTAGGCCCACAATTATGGTTCCTTAGATGAGATTACATCTTGTTCAAGCCATCTATAGGCTTTTTTTTTTTACTGAATAAGTTGCTTTGACTTGAATCATCACATGCTTGCTGAGCTAAGTAGGGGAGAGAAATAGAGTATATGCATGAATGCTCTGTCTGAATCTTTCTGCACTTGGTCCGTGAATTATAAGCAGGTTAATAATCCTTTGGGAAATGAATTAGGTATTTTACAGTACTTACAGAACAAAGAACGGGTTAAGAAAATAGTGTAACTTTTTGCTGGCAACAAGTGGGATCCTTTTAATATAAATTGATAAGATGATGGACTGAGCACCTGCCAAACAATTGCAGAGCTTACTTGTTGCTAATTTCACAAACTTAATTGAGCTGTCTGTGCACTCAGCAAAATAACTTTCAGGACATGGATACATGTCTTTTTATTTGAATAGAGAACTGTAGAAATTGGTAACTCATGGTGCTCATGTATTTCTGAAACTACAGTTGTTAAATGAAAAAAACAAAAATGCAGATGAGCTTTGAGAAAAGATTGGACCAATTCAATCTGAACTTCTTTGATTTCTCATGTATGAGAATGTAAGAAGGGCTCCACAAGGTTTGACCAATTTAGTCCAACCTACTGAAAATGTGTACTTGAGAGTGTGAGATAAGGTCACCTTCTGTTTTGTAGCCATAAATCTGACAGTAGACACACGTGCATTTTAATGAAGGTCTACCCAATCAGAAAACTTAGGAGATTTTTTCAATTAATATTTTTTTCAAGTCTTGGCCCAGACCTTCACTGTTCATTTTCTTTTCCAGTTGCTCAACAGATAATAAAATGCTTGCAGTGAGGTGGTAGTAATACTTCTGATTTGTGTTTTTAATTGTAGCAGGTGAGATTTAGCTTGAAGAGTTGATTTGTCTCATTACAATTGTTTGTGTAACTCCCTAGCACTAGGGAGTCCCCAGATTTGGATATTGTGTACAGAAAAATGGATTGTTGATTCTGGGAGCCTGCTTTCCAAAGGTTTCTTCCATCTTGAGCTGAAGCATGTCTGTGGTGGATGAAATTCAGGGGTTCCTCTGTCATGAGACAGTTGCACGAAGGCAGATTTCAGTGATGCTGATACAACAAAGGGTGGTCAAAGGCCTCTTACTGTGATTCTATTAAACTCCTAGAACCTTTACTTTTACTGTGTTTTGAAATACTTGGCCTTACAAGGAGGTGGTACTTTTACAAGAGAGAAAACCCTGAAGGTTTAGCTTGCCATCATGATTGAGATCCAGAATCTTGCTAAGTTTTGGAAACTAAGTGTGTAAGAGTTTAGTCAGTTTTCTGGAGACAACTTTGACTTTAAGGCTGCTGAACCTCATTGATCCAGATGAATTGCTGGCTTTTTAATGCTGTTATTTCAGAATTCTGAGGAAACCTATGGTATCATGTTTCCTAAGGTATCTTTCTTGCCTTAGTCATAATTTTACATCAGATGCTTCATATGGACTTGTATGTATTTAAGAATTCCCATGAAACCCCCTTGTGTCAGGAGCAGTTGTAGCATTCACACTAATGCTGCTTGGCTGAATAGAGATACTGTACATTAGCCTAACTTGTAATTGTCTGAATTGTTTTGATCCATTTGTGGAGGGAGAAAAAACCCTAAAGTTTATTTTGAGAAATAGATTAATGTCTTAATTATAAATGGCAAATGAATATTTTCACATGCATTACTTTGCATGTAAGCATTCTTGTAGATTTGACTGAATAGTGAGTTGGTTTGCCTTGCTTGCTTTGTGAAACATGACTTAGGCTTCACTCTTTGAAGTGTGAGCTACAAAGCAATAAGAGTTACTTTTCACCTTTCAGAAGAGTGATTAAACATTCCTTGCATATATTAATGAGTACACAATAATGTTTTTAAAAAAAAACCACCCTAACAACCAACAAAAGGAAAAAACCAAGAACAAACAAATGAAAACCCTATTGGAAAGAAACAAACTTAAAATGTATGGAAATTGCAAT